TTAACGTTTATTTATTTTTGAGACAGAGAGAGACAGAGCATGAGCGGGGGAGGGGCAGAGAGAGAGGGGGACACAGAATCCGAAGCAGGCTCCAGACTCTGAGCCATCAGCCCAGAGCCCGACGCGGGGCTCGAACTCACGGACCGCGAGATTGTGACCTGAGTTAAGTCAGACGCTTAACCGACTGAGCCACCCAGGCACCCCTGATTTTTTTTTCTTTAAGAAATACACAGAGTAAATATTTTCAAAAGTGCACCCAATTTCTTCCTTCGGAGAGGTTTCTAGGAAAATAGAAATTGTCAAATTTGGATTCAGACGAAGTAGAAAGATCTGAGTAAGGCAAATAACCACAGAAGAAACTCTAATGGTAGGCGCAGTTCTAACCTCCCTCTAGAGCAGGGTTTCTCAGCACTGTTGACATTTGGGGCCAAAGAGCTGTCTGTTGTGTGGGGCTGCCCTGGACACGGTAGGACGGTCAGCAGCCCTGGCCGCCGCCTGCTAGGTGCCAGCCAGGAGCTTCCCCTACATCGTGACAATCAAAAACGTCTCCAGACGTTGCCAAGCGTCCCCTGGTCGGGGGTGGGGGACAAAACCATCCTCAGTGGAGAACCACCGCCCTAAAAAATCACCAGCCTGTCCTCAGAGGGTTAGCTGGGTGACAGCTTCCAGACTTTCAAAGGGCAGATCGTTCCCACCTTATTCAAACTATTTCAGAGCACGGAAAGACAGAGAAAGCCGTGCAACCCAGGAATAAGGTTGGCAAAACGCAGCCGCTGAAACCAAAGGACAGCAGAGCGGTGGGGGAGGGCGGGGTGTAGTCACGACTCAATCTCACACGTAAACAGAGATGCAAATAGCAAAATAAATCTGGGCGCATACCATCAAATAGAGTCTATGTTAGGAATTTCAAAACTGATTAACATTAGAAACGATGGGCTTGGTTCCGTATTTAAATAGATTAGAGAAGGCTTTAGCGCACGATTATCTCAATAGAATCCAAAATTGATCAGATTAAATCAGTGTTGCAACTCCGGGCTTTGTATGCGAACAGTGATCAACCAGGCACGCTTATCTGAGCCACTGTGTTTTTGGCTTTTGTCGGCTTATTTCAATTTGTAAGGGAGTTCGCACTGCCTTAGCACACGGAGATGTACTTTATCCTTCTTCAGGGAATAGAGGATGTTCTGTTACCAGTGGATGGCAGCGGGTTTATTTCAGATCTTCGGTGATGGACACGTAGGTTTGCTTCCAGTCTTTGCTGTGGTCCAGCAACGTTTGCCGGACCTTTCCTTGTCTGTGCGCCTTTGGGTCCATCTAGATACGTTCCTGGATGAGATCCCTGGATCGGAGAGCTTGTGCGTGTATACTTTTGTTAGAAGTGGGCAAACTGCCCTCCAAAGTGGGCATGCCATTCTCACTCCCGCCAGTAGTGAGGGGAGGGGGGTCCCCAAACCTTGCCACGTGTGATTGGACTTAATCACACCCTTCACCGGGCTCTGAGGGAGCAGATGATTGGGAGAGATGGGACACTGCAGGGTGGTGGGGGGAGGAGAAGCAGGGACCCAGCCAGGTCTGTTGGGGCGACTTTTGCTGGAGAAGACACTGGCAAATCACACAGGCTTCCAAATGTTGCTTGTCATCAAAACCCAAACGTTTTACGTGTCAGGGGGACGCATTTAGCACTTTCTGAGAAAAGTTATATGCTTTGGGTTATAAAAATTTGCCAGAGGGGCCAAAAATGTCCCATCTTAAATACAATAGCAGAGAAGAAACCCACGTGAATTGTAGATGAATATGTCATTTGGGGGAGGTGACGAACCAGTGGCCCACTGAGCGAGGTCAACACACAGACGCATTTGATTCACACAATCTTAGAAATCGGGAAATGCTTATCGACAGATGTGTCCTTGAAATCCGGTGAGGCCCCAAGTAAAGGTGTGGACTGTTTGGCCGAGGGAAGGACCAGGCAGGGGACTTGTTACTTTGTTTTACTATTTTTTTAAAAAAAAATTATAAACGTTTATTTATTTATTGGGGGGTGGGGGCAGAGAGAGAATCCCAAGCAGACCCCACACTGTCAGTACAGAGCCCGACGTGGGGCTCGAATTCATGAACCTGTGAGATCGTGACCTGAGCCGAAATCAAGAGTCAGACACTCAACCGACTGAACTACCCAGGCACCCCAGGACTTGATATTTTAGAGCCATGGTTCTCTGGACCCACAGTAGCAGCAGGGAACTCATTTCGAATGCAGGCTCTTGGGGCCACCCCAGACCTGCTGAATCAGAAACTCTGGACAAAGTGGGGCCGCCACGCCGTGTTTTAGCAAGCCCTCCGGGTATGATGCTGCACTCTCAGGCGGGAGAAGGTGTGTTCTAGATAAATCTCCCCAGCCCATCCTCCCCAGTGAACATGCAGTGTGGCCCCAGGATGTCACTAACCTGGGGAATGTCCTCTCCATGTGTCCTTTGATTTGGGTTCTCTTCTTGTCTGTCTCTACTGTTGCCTGTGGATCTGCGTTTCTGGCTGTATCTCTCCTTGTGTCGTCTCCCAACCTGTCTTCTCGTCTGCTGCCACTGTTCTCTGCCAGTCTCCGTCTATGCGTCCCTGTGCGTCTCTTTCCGTGTCTTACCTGTTGTGGCTTTCAACCGTCTCCATCGGTTGTCGTCGCTTCTCTCTCTTTCCCTGCCGGGGTCACCGCCCCCGCCCCTGCCTCGGTCCAGGCCATCCGCCTGAGGGTGCACCCCCTCTACTTGATGGTCCCCGGCACAGTCAGCTGCTCCTATGCCTTCATGCTCCCGGTCTCGACGCCCCCCAACTCGATTGCCTTCGCCTCTGGACACTTGCTGGTCAAAGACATGGTGAGTCCTCCTGGCGCGTCCCGACAGAGGCCCGAGACGGGGGGTGGACAGCAGGTGCCGGGCGAGACGTCTGGGCGGGACCCCTGGTCCCACTTTACCAAACCCCAGTTTCTGAAGAAGTCATTCGGAGCCGGACCAGGGGGATCCGCTTTAACAGACACTCTGGGATGATTCTTGTGCTTGGACAATTTCAGGAAATGGCCTTCGTGATGACTTTCCAGAGTCTGCTTCAGGGACAAGGGACTTCCTCCCCTCTCTGGGCACTGCTCTCTTTTCTTACTTGTTCCTCCGGCTGCTCTGTGCCTGGAATCTTTAGGAGGGAGGCACTGGGGTAGCAGCAGTGGGGAGACCCACCGGTGTGTTCCCTCTCCCCTCGCTCCCCTGCCTCCCCTGCTGCTTCCACTGGCTGCCTGGGGCACTCAGGGAATGCAAATCCAAAGCTGGTGTAAGTAACTGAAGAGGGTGGTGTTCCCAGTCCAGGCTCTCCAGGCACAGATACCCCAGCAGGAGCTGGGGAGGGAGAGAGAAAGGGGGTGGACAAGAGTGAGAGACAGAAAGAGGTCACAGAGCAAACAGAGAGAAGGAGGAGGCTGGTGTGCCTGGAATCGGGAAGATGAGACCAGAGGCCCGGGAGGGGAGGTCGGTGCACAGCATGCAAGGCACAGACTTAGGATATTATTCAGCGCACAGTGGGAGGACTTTCAAGGGATTTAAGCAGGGCAAGGCTGGGTCTGAGAGCCCAGGGGAGGGTCCCACAGGGCCAGCCAAAGGGGTCCTTGGCTTCACGCAGGACCGAAATCAAATGTGAGCCAGGGACAGTGAAAACAGAGTTTACTGAAGAGTATGAGAGACAGAGAATAAGGGACAGAGTGTCTGGGAGACCCTCAGAATGGAGAGAAAAATGAGTCTCCTCGTTGCTCGGGGTTAGGGGTTTATACTGGAAAAGGGTCTAGGGAACGCGTGTGTTCCTTTAAGAATCCGCTAGGTCCAATCAAAGAGAGAGTCCGGTGAGCAATAGGTATTATTCCATGAATCCCCGAAGGTAAGGGTACGTGTTTGGGATCTGGCCCTTAGGTGTTATCAGGTGTTCGGGGCCTAGGACAAAACAGAGAATGATTCACTTTCTTGCTTCCCCCTCGAGGTGGGAAAAGAGCTTCTTGGCTTATTCAGAGGCAGAATCCGGAACATGAGGATACGGACCCTGGCAGAAAAACAGCAGAGATGGAGACTTTCTAGAGTGGAGTCCCTTCAGCTGTCCGATGTCACAGGGATGTGGTTTCACTCGTGCCCCTCCGAGATGGCTTTGGCTGCCGGGTGGAGTGGAGTGCTGGGGGCTGGGGGCCAGTGTGGAAAGGGAGGCTGCTTAGGGAAGGCAGAAATGGAGATGTGACGCCCATCCTGGGAACAAAGAGACACGAGAGAAATGGAGAGGCTCCGAGAGGTAGAGGCCTGCCAAGAGCACGGAGAGGGACAGAAAGATGCCGAGGGACACAAGGAGGCACAGAGAGGCGCTGGCTCTGGAGGCTTGGGTCCAGACAGTGATGATGTTGTAGGCAGTTGACATAACGAATGTGGGACTAAGCAGGCATTTTGAGGCAGGCTCCCAGGAGCGCAGCCCTCCTCCCGGCCGCCCCAAAGCTTAGGCCTGTCCCCTTCCAATCCTCCAAAGTTGCCAGGGTTTCAAGGTACCCCCAAGAGCAAAGGCAGGATAGCACGACACAGTTCGACCTTGTTGCTTGGCATACGCCCTTCACGACTTGATGCCCTTTCCGCGAACCATCCGTGGCAATGTTTACTTAACAATTGTAATCAACTTACATTTTTAAAAAAAACTTAAGAGTATTTGAAAAGAAGAGTTTCCGCTGCAATCTGTACATGGAAAACTGGTAACGTATGCCACAGAAGGGAAGTCTAAAAATAAACGCAGACCAAAGAAAGCAAAATAATTACTTTTGCTCCGATAGCAGTTGCCCTGGAGAAGGTTCTGAACCCCTCCTTGTCAAAGAGGGCCATTGGCGAGGAAGAGAGAGCGTTAAGGGCGTGAAGCACACCCGAGGGAGACCTTCTCTGTGAGGAAAAGGTCCCAAGGGGGATTGAAAAGGGAGTCACTTGCTTACCGTGCAGTTCACAGCTGGGCAAGGCCAAGATGGAACATCAGAAAACCCCGATGAGAAACAGGGATTTTCAGCCCCGGGTTGGACTGAATGGCCCAGGAGGTTGGCCCCGGGGAAGAAGCAAACTTGTTCTAGCTTCTTAAAAAGGTCAAAACTTCCATCAGACAAACCTTCGCAACAAGTAAGTATAGCTTTAAGTAGACGTGTAGTGTGTGTGTGTGTGTGTGTGTGTGTGTGTGCGCGCGCGTGTGTGTTACTGGTCAAACCAGATCATTTTCAAGCTGTGTGACGTGGGTAAGCCCACTTCTCTGAGCCTCAGTTTCCTCTTCTGTAAAGTGGAAATAATAATAATAATCACCTGCGAAGGGTTGCTTTCAGGGTTAAGGGACACATCTGTGTGACAGAGTACCTGACACCTAGAAACCACTCGAGGGCTGGGGACATTTGCAGCTCTTTGAGGGACAGCCCAGGGTCATGTAAAGATGGGGGGGTTGTGGGCATCCACCGGCCTCGTGTCCTGGAACCATCGCTTCCGGGCTGGGAGACCTTGAGTGAATGACTTCCTTAACTCTGAGTGTGGGTTTTCCCATCCGTACGATGACCCCTTCCTTACTCTGGGCTCCGTTTCAGGTGCGGACAGGCCTCCTGATGAACCTGATGGGCGTCCTGCTGCTCAGCTTGGCCATGAATACTTGGGCACAGACCATCTTCCAGCTGGGCACCTTTCCGGATTGGGCCGACATCCACTCAGCCAACATCACATCACTGCCGTCCGCCTTGCCCAACGACACATTTCGGACCCTTTGAGCCCCGCTCCAGGACTCTCTTTGGGCTGGGCCCTCCCAGAAGGCTTTTGCCATCACCCGCTGCTAGGAAACAAGCTCTCTGAGCTGTTCTGTGGCTAGGATGCAAAGGAGCCTTATTTCAGCAATCTGGAATGGTGTTTGTCTTAAACAGTTGGAAACGGGGGCCACCGAATCGCATGGGCACAACTGACATCCCCCACTGCCTGCTTTAGGTTTCACTCTGGAGAGATCATCTCGCCTTTGGAGCTCGCCTGCCTCACAGAGGCTTTTGGGGCTGCGCTGTGCCAGTCCTTCACAGGTGGTGTGTGTTCTGCTCGGCTGGTGCCCCTCCCGTGCCCGTGGTTTGAATTTTACGGCTGCCAATCCCCGGCAGCTAGGGTTATTTCCAATCCCTGGAGACGGGGGGAGGGACAGATGACGTCCTGAGGAGGTGGAGGCTGTGCAAAGCCTCCCTGCTGCTCCTCTGTGCGCCTGAGCACGACAGGAGCGTTCTAGAAATCCCAGCTGACGCCTCTACCCACCCTGTCTAGGATTTTCCTGTTTAATCGAGTCAGTTTGACCGTAATTCTGGGGTCAGGCCAAGCCTGGGCCCTAATGTCTCACGAGTGGCCCAAGGTTCTTCCAGCAAGGACTCCCGTCCTTTGAGGGCCTTTGAGGCCATCAGCCCTTCCTCGTTCCAGCAGCTGGTCTTTACCTCCCCACCCACACCCCAGGGGGTAAGCATGTTTAATGAGCCAAGGCCACGTATTTCAGAGATGAGAAAAAAAAAAAAAAAAAAAAGTCGGAAGATAGATTGGAGCCTCGTAAGAGGCCAGGGTGAAATTTCTCAGGCAGGCAAAATATCGTAACCCTCTTCTCCAGACGGGGTCAAGGGAGACTCCCCTGAGCCAGTGGCTGGTGGGAGCTGTCCTAGAAGATGGAATCCCTCCCTGTTTCCAGCAGAAACGTCTGGGCATCCCCTGTAACAGCACCGTATTAGGTCCCATGGGTGCTCAGAAAGTGTAAAGAGTGGCCCAGTGTTAGCCTGGCTCCAGCAAAGGTGCCAGGAAGGGGTCCAGAAGCCTTATGTCTCCCCTTCCTACGCATCTGAGGGTTGAGGTTCTCTGGGCAGTGTGGGCTGGGAAGGCAGCACCCAGAGACTGAACTCAGTACGGTACGAGTGAGTCACAGAGGTTTCCCTGGGAGCGGGAGGGAGAGAGGAGAGGCCTCCAAGTTGGAGAATGCGGTCCATCTCTTCCCACGTGAGCACTTTAGTATTTAGCCACGGTTACAGCCCATGGGGGTTGGAGGCTGCTCTCCTGGAGAACAGGGGACGGGAGAAACCCATGGGACCTGTAACCTGATGAATTGTGATTTCGAATCCTGATTGAAAACGCTATAAAATAAAGAATGTGAATCAACAGTGGACCTAGAGGTCATTTGCTTTGTGGACATAAGTAAGTTTTAAAGCCACAAACTCCTGAGCTGGGAGTTCCACAGAATTGACCTCCCTGACCTAGCTTCCTTATTGCCCTTCCCCCTCCACTCTAACCACATGCTTCAACTGTCCTGCCCCAGGGCCTTTACACATGCTTCTCCCCACCCCCACCCCCCGCCCCCGCCCCTACCAAGAACACTTTGCTTCCCACATATGTGCTTGTTTCCTCACTTTATTCAGGCCTCTGCCCAAATGTCACCTCCCCGGAGAAGCTTCACTAACCATCTAGTCTAAAATCTTGCCCTCATTACTCTCCAGCTCCTTACTCTGCTGTATTTTTCTTCGTCGTGTTTAGTCAAGACACCGTATTGTGTATTTTCTAGAATATCAGCCTATCAGAATACAAACGTTATTTTGTTGAGTGCCGTAACTCTGGTATCTAGAATGGTTTCTGGCACATAATAGGTGCTCAGTAAATATTTGATAAATGAATCTGTACCAAAATTTATGAGCCAGCAATCTCGACCTCCGATCTGAGGTCTGTTCTATTCATTTCTTTGTTCACTCCTTCTTCCACGCATTCATTCAACAATATTTATGTAAAACCTGATTATGGGCTCCTTCACTGTCCCCATCCACATGGAACTTACATTCTAGCTAAGGAGACAGGCAGTGGGCAGGTAAACAGATAAAATCACTCTGGGTCATGAGGCGGGGTAAGAAGAAAATGAAACTGGACAATGTGACCAAGTGACTCAGAAGCTGCTTCAGCCGGGGGTGCTCAGGGAGGACTTCTCTGAGGAGGTGGCATTGGCCTGAGACCAAGAGTCAGCCACGTGCCGATGGAGGCATGGGAGGACGGTGGGCCGCAGGAGGGGTGCAGAGTCATTGGAAATACACACGAGACTCGCGTCCGGAATGCAACAGGTGTCAGAAAGAGCAAATACAAAACAAAACATCTGTTTTAGTTAACTGGCTGCATTAACAAACCACCCCAAAACTCGGGCCCCAGAACACAGCAGCTTATTGGCTTATGTTTCTGCATTTAGACAGAGATCTGCAGGGATGGTTTCGTCTCTGCTCCAGATGGGGTGTCCAGGGCAAGTCAGTGGGGAGTTTAGCTGGACCTTGAATGTCCACAATGACCATGGAGCCTCTGGGGTCATGTGGCTTCTCCAGGAGTCTAGCCCAGACCTCTGAACCTGACGGTGGGCTTCTCAGAAGGCAAAAGCAGTAGCTACACAGCCCCTTACGGGCCGGGCTCGCGAATCGAAGAACTCAATTCTGCCACATTCTATTGGTCAAAGCAAGCCAAGGGTTACCTGGTTCAAGGGGAGGGGAACAGGTCCCAGCCTTCATGGGAGGAGTGGTAGGTATCCACGTACAGAGAGGGGAAGAGGCTTGGCCGCTGTCTTTGGAAGACGCCAGCCCTGACACCCAGAGCAGGGAGAGACACGGCTGTGCCGTTCTGAAGCAGGGCGTCGAGATGGCCAGAGCTTGGTAAGGAGATGCTCGAACCCATTTGCAATCAGATAAATGCAAGTTCAACCAAGATGCCAGTCCCACCAGTGGGAACCAGGAAAGGGAACGATACGTGATAGTGAAACAGAAGGAAACAGACGCCCTCCCATCCCGCGGGGGAGACGATAACCCCTCACCGGCAGCCTGGCAAGCAACGGGGCGGTAATTAGGGGGAATTTGTTACCTGCGTTCCCTGTGGCCCAGTTTTCCTCCTGGGTTCGTGTCCCGGCAAAATCATTGCACGGTTCCTACGGGGACAATGTAGAAGGATGTTTGGGCACTGCCGTTTGAGGAACCCAGGAGCTGGAGGCCACCTAGATGACCACCATGGGGGTGGCAGTATTTAAGTAAAATACGGGGAAGCACACCGTGGAAAGCACGACAGCCCGCAGAAGTGATGAACAACAGGTACGTGGAAGGACTGGATAGACACGCGCATATTCTGGTGCATATATCAAGAAATTAGAGAGTCAGGTGGGCAGGAGAACGGAAGTGGTGACGTCAAATGGAAAACAAGGCGAATAAAAGCCACTAGATGAGGGGTTCAATGAGCCACTTTGGACTCCTGGCTCTACACGCGACAAGCTGTGTGACCCTGAGAACGTCCTTTACGCTTTGGGCTTGGGTTTCCTCATCTGAGAGATAAAGAGTGCGTAGTCAGGGTCTTGAAAGGAAATATATAAAGTAGCTAATTTGAGGATAGCTTAGGAACGGGTCTAGTTACAGGGTGTGGGCAGAGGACACGGAAACCATGAGGGGAAGTGCAGATCCTGGGTGGTGGGAGAGGGGTGAGGGAGAGGGGGTGGCTCCTTTACTCCTGGGACACATACAGCCCAAGACGACTCTGAAAGGGGGACACTGCCTCGGATCTTTCTCTTCAGCCACGCTCAGCTCTCCCACTGGCGCTCCCCATGACCAACCCAACTGTATCCGTCGGGGTTCTCCAGAGAAAGCTGAACCAACAGGATGCAAATATGTGGATCTATATGTATATCCAGGAAAGAGTCCAAAGGCAATCCGCTGGCAGAATTCCCTCTCGCTCAGGGGAAGTCAGTCTTTTGTTCTACTCAGACCTTCAACTGATTGGACGAGGCCCACCCCATTAGGAGGGGGCAGTCTGATTTACTCAGACTCCATTGATCTAAACATAAATCTCATCCAAAAAGTCCCTCACAGAAACAGCTAGAATAACGTTTGACCAAATAGCTGGATGCTGTGGCCCAGCCACGTGGACACAGAAATCTCACCATCACACATATGGAAGCCAGAATGCGGGAGGGCCCTCTGAGGCAGCCTATCCAGGTGGGGCTCCAGGGATCAGGGCAGGGAGGAGAGCGGAGACTGTGTCTGGAGGGGTAAACCGAGAAAACATGGCACGGAAGGTTTAGACCAAATCGGAGCTTGTAATCTAGCGGTCCCTGGGTCTACCTCCAGCCCATAGTCAGGGTCTCTTGCCCCCTCTCGTGAGTTTTAAACTATTAATTGATTGCTAATATTTTAAACTCAGAAAATGTCACGTTAGAACCGAGTTTTGTGCTGCTCTTAGAAAAGAAAATGTCAGAAGGTCTGGCAACATGGGACCCTATTGCTACCTGGCAACAGGAGTTGAGTGGTGGTGGTGGGAAAACTCAAGTTGGAGGGTAAACCCTCTTGTTTGCCACAGTCCCCACCCCTCCTTAATGTCTTAGGCTGACTCTCTTCATTTTAATTTTTTTTTAATTTTTTAAAAAATTATTTATTTATTTTTGAGAGAGAAAGAGAGAGAGTGCGAGTAGAAGAGGAACAGAGAGAGAGGGAGACACAAAATCCAAAGCAGGCTCCAGGCTCTGAGCTGTCAGCACAGAGCCCAACACGGTGCTCGAATCCATGGACGGTGAGATCATGACCCGAGCCAAAGTCGGACGCTCAACCGAATGAGCCACCTGGGTGCCCCAAGACTCTCTTCACTTTAAAACACAGGTTTTTAGGAGTGCCTGGGTGGCTCAGTCAGTTAAGTGTCCAACTTCGGCCCAGGTCATGATCTCATGGTTCATGGGTTCGAGTCCTGCGTCGGGCTCACTGCTCTGTCAGCACAGAGCTGAGAACCTGTTTTGGATTCTGTGTCTCCTTCTGTCTCTCTCGGCCCCTCCCCAACTTGTATTCTCTCTCTCTCTCTCTCTCAAAAAGAAATAAACATTTTTTAAAATTTTTAAAAATAAAAACACAGGATTTTAAAACAGAGCACAAAAAAGGAAGATAATATATCCCCTTAATAAATGTTATACTGATTACATTTCGAGAGGATACTATTTGGGATACATTAGGTTGAATAAAACATCTGATTAAAGTAAATTTCAGTTTTTTATGTGGCTACTAGAAAATGTCTAATTATATACTCGGCCCACATTCTGTTTCTGTTGGATACTACTATCTATTTGGTAAGACTTTAGCCACCTCCCCACATTCTCAGACCGAGGGGGTGGTGGCAATATTCTATGCCCACAGGCTGTACAACTCAACGACTCCCGTGTTCCATGGACTACTGATTCTGATTGTGGACCTGAAGGCTCACCACTTCCTCTTCCTGTTCTGTCTTATGGTTCTGAATCTTCTACCCAGAAATTCCCCCAACAAAGCTGATTCTATTTTTGATGATTCAGAAGACACTTCTGGATGTGGGATTTGGAGCCAGGCCAGCTTTACAGAGGCAGAAGTGACTGCCTACATGTGCTGAGAAGAGCCAAAAATATCTTCTGCCCCTTCCCCCGCTGCACCACCGAACCCCCAGATCTTACGCATTCCTCGGAGGCCTTCAGGAAATGGTCAACATGGTCCTTTAACCGATCGGCTGTCCGGTCTCAGCACACAAACTGGGCGAATGCCGGGGTCTTCCGGGATGGCTCCCCTCGGACCAGCACGATGCCCTGAAATTTCCTGTGCGAGGGGGACCCAGGCTAGGGATCCGACTTGTGGGCATCACAGAGGCCTGTATTATCAGTGAGGTCTGAGCAGCCTGGGGCTCACGGAGGCCGAGCTGTCAGCCCAGGTCTGAGAAAGCAGGGCAGGAGTATTTGGCTGTTATGCCCTGGGTGCTCTGCATACATTATTTCATTGAATCCTCAAAGAATCCTAAGAAGTAGGCAGGAGTAGTCTCACGAGAGCAGAGTCCACACAAGTTCAGAGAAGGACAGTTTTCTTGTCCAAGGTCGCACAGCACAGGAAGTGCAAAGCTGGCATTCAAGTACAGACCGACTACTGTCAGCCCGGGGCCCCTGCAGTTCGGAGGGACCGTCAGACGGCTCCCTACGTCAGCCCCACGGAGGTTTTCTGCAGAGGTTGTGAGTCGGGAGCCCTCTTGCTGGCTTCAGCCCACGGGCCTGTTGAGGTTGGTCCGCACAGCGGTCTTTTCTTTTTCTTTTTTTAATGCTGGCTTGAAAAACTTGGAGACTTTTACGCCCAAAATGGGAATGACGGGCATCTTCGGAAACAGTGGGAAACCTGGTAATGTGGGACCTTTGTTCAAGGGACCGGAGCAGGGTAGAAGCTGTCCTTTCCGAAAGGGTCTACACGCGGCAGCTCACTGCTGTTTCCATGTGTTCTGCTCTGCCCCTTAGCTGGCTGGCCTCCGCACGTGCATGTGTTTCCTGCTCCCTGCCTGCTCTGTGCATTCCACGTTTGGTGCCCGGCCTGATTCCCTGGAGGGGCTTGTGGTCTGGGAAGGGTGTCAGGCCCTCCGAGGGCCACAGGTGTCTCATTCACTTGTGTGACTATGAGAATGTCACTTCCCCTATCCGGGCCACAGAACAGCCCCCTTCAGACCTGAGCAAGCGGCCGAGGCAACGTGTCCTTATAAAGGAAAATGTGGGGGAGTCTGGAATACGGCTTCACTGGCCCATCCTGTGGGGGTGGAGGCCTGGGGGCGCAGGGGAGGCCTCCCTGGAGGAGGCAGCCTGCTGGCAGTGATGGAGGACAAAGACGCTGGGGGGCGAAGTGTCTGCTTCCGGGCAAGGACTGGCTCTCAGGACAGCCCAGAAGTGTACCTGCCGGACAATTTCTACAGCAGAGCACGTATACAGGGACCTCACACTTATTAAGTGCCTGCTTTTTGCAGTTTCGGATGCATCTGAAGGTAACCATGAGTCTTGTGAATGCTTCCCTCCACACCAGTAGAGCAAGCACAGAGGTCGACCAGTAGACTCTGGAGCAGGACCGTTGGGTATAAATCATGGCTCTACCCCTTCCTGGCTGAGTGGCTTGGTTAAGGGAGTTAATTCTTCGGGGCTCGTTTTCTGAACTGAAGAATGAGATAACTTAGCAAAAGGGTTGTCGGAAATAAGGATTCAGGGGATTCAAACAGAACTATCAAGGAGCCTGATGCTTAGCAAGTGCTCAGTAAATGTTAACTGTTACTGTTGTTGCTCCCTCTTAAGAGGAGGCAACTGAAACAGAGAGATGAGGTCACCTGCTCAAGGTCGCACAGGTAGGGAGGGAGAGAGTTGTGACTTGAAGCCAGGTGCATGTCAGGCTAGACAGAAGGCCAGCTGGAGAGGGGACCAGCTGAGTGGAGAGCCACTATGCTTGGAAAAGAGTCTCAGCCAAGGTGCCAGTGTCTCTGGTGGGTTCCCACCACGCAGAGTTGGGGATCAGGTCCTCTTGGGGCACACAGCTGTGGAGGGTGCGGGCAAGGCAAAGCCAAACGCGGCTCAAGTCCTGGTGTTGCCACTGCTGAGTGGTGTGGCTTCTCTGAGCCCCAGTTTCTTCCTGTGCGAAGTGAGAGCAGTTCCACCTTCCCACTATCAGGATTACAGACATCGCTTGGAAAAGGCTCTTTCCTCCCACACCTTCTACCCACTCCCGCCTGCCCGAAGAGGAGGAAGCAGCTTGCCCGGCCCTCCGGGAGGTGGGCCCAGGCGGGGCGGGACAAGGTGACCAGGAGGGTTTAATTACAGGCCAAAAAGCAGAAGCACCAGGGTCTCCTAAGTTCTGGAGAATGCAGTTCCCCCCACTTCCTCTCCACCTGCCCATCGCTGCCTGAGCCTGCCCGCCCGGATCCACAGCTATTCAGGAAGCATGAAAACAGCTGAGCACCTCGCCAGGACCGGGTAGGTCTGGGGACCCTAGACTCTGGCACCACAGGCAAGAAAACGGCAGTCGGGCATGGCGGGTGCGGGCTTCGGCCCCAAGCTCTGCCATTCCCTGGCCGTGTGACTTTGGGTAAATCTCCACCCCTCCGGACCTCGGTTTCCCCATCTGTGAATGAGAGTCGTGATAACGACTCTCATTGTAAGAACTGCCCGAGAAAACGCACGCACAGCGCTTGCCATCACGCGCAGCTCGGAGTAAGCACGCACAGCAAGCAGGTGCTCTTTGCACAGCAAGGAGATGCATCATGGATCGTGCATCTCCCACAGGCCTTGGCCTTCAGTGTGACTCACAGTGGGCTTTGCTTCCCTTGCCGTTTATATTATTCGCTGTTACTTTAACAGCTGCCATGTTCCGAATACTCCTTACACAGTAGGAGGAGGTTTAGTCCTAAATTGAGATGCCCTCCGGGGCTAGAAAGGCCACAATTCGTCTTCTCTAACTGCCAGTGGGTCCGTGGTGCTGCCCAGCTTGAAGCAGTTCCCGGGTTCGTCTACTCTCCCAGCCTCCCGGACCGCTATTTTCTACCCTGTCCTTCTTCTTCAGGCCTGCCCTGCACGGCCTCGTCCAGTACGCTCTCCATCCGTGCGGACCTTGCTTTCCTGCTACCCTGAGCAAACAGAAGCAGTCACACCACAGCTGACACCCGCTGCATGCAGACACCATTCTAGACGCTTGCGGCGTATCAGGGACACCAAGGAGCCACTCGCTGCCCCGGTGGCACGGAGCTCCAGTGACAGATCACAGCCGATGCAGTACTTACTACGTTCCAGACACAGAGTGGCCCTCTGAGGTCCTACTTCACGGCACCATTTTACAGACATGAGTCCCGTTGTTTATGCAAATGAGAAAACGGAGGCCCGGAGGGATTAGAAACCTTGACCAAGGTCACACGGACCGTGAGTAGTGAGGCGAGGATTTGGACCCAGGCAGTCTGGAGGCCACGCCCTTAATCATTGCTCCTTTCCGTGTCAGAGGAACTGAGATGTACGTGCCCACACTTTGCCCGTCCCTTCACGGTCATCTGAGCCCGTGTCCTCTGCCTTCCCATCTGCTACATGGGATGACCACCCTGCTCTTTTCTGAGACCCGCCCTCAGATTTTGTGCTGTCGATCATACCCCCCTGCCCCCACCTGTGAGCCTCCCTTTGTCCACGCCCCCTCTTGATTGGCAGACCTGCTAGCGTCTCTCCCATCCATGTCCCGTCCCCACCATCGGCCACGGCACCATTTGTGTGCCCCTTTATTGCAAAAACGAGTCAGAAGAGCTGTCGGGACTCGGGTCTCACATTCTTCTCCTTCCAGTCTCTCCTGGGCCCACTCTAGTTGGGTTTTGGCCCAAGGTGCCACCAAGCTACCCTTGGGCCGTCTCCAGGGACCTCCTCCACATGGCAAAACCCAATGGTCATTCCTCAGCCCTCGGCCTTGTTGACCCATCAGCAGCACCTGACCTATGTGGTCGCCCCCCTCTTCTTGGAACATTTTACTTGCTTGGTTTCCCAGACACCACATCACCTTGGCTTCTCCACCTCCTTCTCGCCTCCCACCTGTTCACCCTGGAGTGCGAGGGCTCAGTCCTTGAGTCTCTGTCCTCCCCGCTTAACACACTGTCCTGAGGGGTCAGCTCCTGCCCCCTGGCTTCAAGTGTCATCTATAAATCAATGACTTCGTATCTCATTTATTTCCCGTCTCTGGAAACGACGCCTCGGTGTTGCAGTTGCTCGGGCATCAAACCCCATGGTCATCCTCCACTCCCTCCTCCTCCTCGCTCCCCCAGCCAATCAGACGGCCAGTTGTAGTGGTTCTTCCAGCAGAATGTACACAGAACCCTAACCTCTTTTGACTACACCTCGGCCGTCATCTTTAATGTGGGCTGGATGAGGGCCGGGACTCTTGTCCGTTTCATTCATTCCTGTTTCTCCAATGGCGAGCACACAGTCGTTGCTTGCTGAATATTTTTTTTTTTAATTTTAAACATTTATTTATTTTTAAGAGACAGAGAGAGACAGAGCATGAGCGGGGGAGGGGCAGAGAGAGGAGGAGACACAGAATCCGAAACGGGCTCCAGGCTCTGAGCTGTCAGCACAGAGCCTGACGCGGGGCTCGAACTCACAAACCGAGAGATCATGACCTGGGCCGAAGTCGGATGCTTACCCAGGCGCCCCTGAATATTTTTGAATGAATAAATTTAAGGACAGCAGAGTAGAAAAGTTCCTGAGTGGCCAACGGATCCACTCTCCTGCCCCTCCAAATTATAGAGGAGATCTTGAGGCCCGTGGAGAAGGGATCACACAACAGGCCAGCAAGACTGTGAATTCAAGTACAATAGTATGTCTCTCTCCCCATGTTTTTTTTCCTCTTTCTTATTCTCTCTCCTCTGCGCTTCTCTCTCCGAGGCTTTTTCATTCCCCGGGGCCGGGCACCCTCACCAAACCGGAATGGTGGACACAGGCAGCTCAGACATTCACCCTCACCTCCCCAGAAACTGCACAGAAACTGGGCGGCTCCCCCAACAACTCCAGTGGGAATAGCCCTAGGGCAGGCTCTGACTGGTTCGGCGCGGGTGGTGGGGGTTTGGGGGTAGCCACGGGGGAAGGGTGCCGAGCCCTGTGGCTAAGGGGTGGAGCCTGTGAGCAATCGAAGGGTTTTGTGGATCAGGGGCCTTGGGCAGACAGCCAACCCCTCGTCCTCCTGAAAGACGTCCCCCCAATTTCCTTGTGTGCAGGTGGAGGGTCTGGCACTTGGGGCTCCGCAAGGCCCTTGTCCCACTGCAGGCTGCCTGGGTCGCCTTCTCTCAGCCTGTCCCAACCAGCTGTGGCCAGCTGCTAACCCAGCTCCTCCTGTGCGGTTCCCCGGCCCTTGCTGCTGCGGGTCTGACGCACCGCTGGCTCGTGTCCTCGTTGCTTTATCCTCCGGGACCCTCGGCCACAGTGGCCACTGTCTGCGGCCTCCTAGTCTTCCTGGTCCTGGGCTTGGTGCCCCCCGCGCGCTGCCTGTTTGCACTCAGCGTCCCCACCCTGAGCACGGAGCAGGGCCGCCGCCTGCTCCTGTCCTGGAGCACCGCCACCCTGGCCGTCGCCGTGGTGCCCAACGTCTTGGCCAACGTGGGCGCGGCCGGGCAGGTGCTGAGATGTGTCACAGAGGGCTCCCTGGAAAGCCTGCTCAACACCACTCACCGGCTGCACACAGCGTCCGGGGCTCTGGGCCCCGCTGGCCAAGCAGGCGGCCGGGGCTTGACCCTCCAGGCCCAGGGCAATGGCTCTGTATTCCTGCTTCACATGCTCAGGGTCACTCAGCAGGTGCTGGAGGACTTCTCTGGCCTGGAGTCCCTGGTCCGGGCGGCCGTGCTGGGGACCCAGCAGGTGGTCGCGGGGCTCTTTGTGCTGGGCCTCCTCGTGGACTCCGGCTGGTACCTCCACCGCTACCTGACGGACCTGCGGTTTGACAATATCTACGCCACACGACAACTGGCTTTGCAGCTGGCCGAGGCCCAGGCCACACACCTGGTGGCTTCCCCACCAGCCTGGCTGCTCTGGGCCGCCCGGCCGAGGCTGTCCCAGGGGGAGCTGCTGAGCTGTCTCCTGAGGCTGGGACTGCTCACCCTGCCCCTGATGGCCACAGCTGTGATGGTGGCTACAGACCACGTGGCCTTTCTCCTGGCTCAGGCAGCCGTGGACTGGGCGCAGAAACTGCCTGCCGTGCCCACCACGCTCACGGTCAAGTATGATGTAAGTAGGGCGATGGGAAGAGAGGACTAGAGTCCTCTAGGAAGCCCCCTCGGAAGGGCTAGGGTGTGTTAACCATTTGATCTGCGACTGAATTTTATTTGCCTTCGAGTCCCAGCCCTTGGAGAAGCTACGGGAACCTGGGGCATTCACAGGCTCCTGTAATTCCCACCACAGCCTGATGCACTGGGTTCCATTTTCACCCCGAGGACAGGAGAGGACACAGATACCCAGAGGCTTTAAAATAATTCGATGCCCAAGGTCACTCTTTTCTTACGTGGCAGCAAGTCCTAGTCTCTTTTTCCTCACTTGGACAAAGTGGATCAGTCCCCCTCACCCCACAAGGTTATTGTGAGTCTTAACAAGTGGTAGTTTGTAAAAGTACCCAGGCGCTCCAGGCCACACAGGAGGGGGTTGACAAATAGCGGCTATCATTAAAAGCTGACATCTGTATATATCAGACTGTATATATTGAATGATCTAGGCCAGGAGTCCACCAACTATGGCCCACGGGCCAAACTCTGCTGGCTTCCTGTTTTTGTAAATTAAGTTTTATTGGAACATAACCGTGCCATTTGTTTACGTGTTTGCTGTGGCTTTTCGACAAAGTTGATAGTTGAATCAAGGACTGTATGATCTGTGTATGATCTAAAATAGTTACCATTTTAATAGTAACATATAAAATATTTACCATTGGATATATTTATTATCCGATCAAGATTTGTGGTTTTCAATCTTTTGCCAAAAATCTTTTTTTTTTGGGGGCGCCTGGGTGGCGCAGTCGGTTAAGCGTCCGACTTCAGCCAGGTCACGATCTCGCGGTCCGGGAGTTCGAGCCCCGCGTCAGGCTCTGGGCTGACGGCTCAGAGCCTGGAGCCTGTTTCCGATTCTGTGTCTCCCTCTCTCTCTGCCCCTCCCCCGTTCATGCTCTGTCTCTCTCTGTCCCAAAAATAAATAAACGTTGAAAAAAAAAATTAAAAAAAAAAAAAAAATCTTTTTTTTTTTTTTAATGATGAGATCTCACACAAAACTCCACTGCATAAAACCAAAGTTCAGACTCTGAGTGAATAATATTAATGGCTAATATTTATTAAGTGCTTATTATATCCTAAGAAAGTGCTTTCTCAAACTGCATGAAATCAATGTAATCAACTTGGGAGGTTATGGTCACTTTTTTTTTAATGAAATCAAATAGACTAGAAATTTATGAGAGTATATTTTAAAGGATAAGGTTGAGGTTTTGTTTTATGACATTTTTCTCTGATCACAATACAATCTGTGCCTGCAAGGTGCTCTGAAACGCGTTTCATATGGGAAGGGGGGGTCACAGTAAAGAAATGTATCAGGCACTGTCCCGAGGGTGGCACCTGAGTTACCTTATTTCATCAAATCCAAGATGTCATTGATTGCAAATCACATCATCATTTTTATGTGTCATTAGGAAAGAAAATGCTGCCAATCAAACCAAGACGCAATGCCTTCTTATCATTTAGAATTAAAAAATATATACTTATTTATTTTGAGAGAGAGGGAGAGTGGGGGTGGGGCAGAGAGAGACAGAATCCCAAGCTCGATCCCAAGAACCATGAGATCGTGACCTGAGCTGAAAAGAGTCGGATGCTTAACTGACTGAGCCACTCAGGCACCTCTTATCATTTAGAATTTTAATTGTATTCATATAAAATAGTTCACTTCTTATTTCACATAGACTTATCTTTTCTCAGGTATGGAAAAAAAGAAAAACGGTGGATTCGTTTTGTGACGTTTTCCTAAAACGTCCTTCCATTCAAGCCTGACTCCTCTGAATGGCTCTGCTTGAGTTCTCAGCGTCTGTGGGTTTTCACCTAATATTACTGGCCTCTGTGCCTTCGAGAGCTGGTGATGCCCCACTATCATTTCCAGCATTTTCCTCCGCCCACTCTGCAAGCTTTCTTGCTGGCACCCTCTGGCCCTCTCACAAAGCGTGAAATGGCACAACTGTGGAACGGGGTTACAAGTCCCATTGCTTGAAAGACACATCTTGATCTCAAAGAGGTTAAAATGTGGGGGGAGAAATGAATCCCCAAACCGACAAAATGTGATAGCTCACTGTTCCTGGCCGAGAAGTTGGCCCTGGGCAGACCAGGATCCAACCCAAGAAGTCTGGCTCCAAAGGTCAGATGGTTAACCTCTGACCTCCCTGCCTCCCCGTGCTGTGCTCCAACATACCCCAAGGGAATTGTAGAGCTTAGGAATAGGCTCAGGGTGTTGGCACTCCCCTTGGCTGGGACTGATCCCCGGGCTGGCCACATGTAACACTAGGGGACCTTAGATTTCCCATCTTTTGTCTTTTTTTTTTTTTTAGTGTTTATTTATTTATTTTTTAAAGACAGAGCATGAGTGGGGGAAGGGCAGAGAGAGAGCGAGACACAGAATCCGAAGCAGGCTCCAGGCTAGGAGCCCTCAGCACAGAGCCCGATGCGGGGCTCGAACCCACGAACCCGGAGATCATGACCTGAGCCGAAGTGGACGCCCAACTGTCTGAGTCACCCAGGCGCCCCAGGTTTCCCATCTTTTCAGCAAGGCTCGTTCTGGGCTCAAGCTCATAGGATTGCCCATATTTGATGAAAAAGACGTCTAAAATATTCACTAGAGGGCTTAGCAAAGAGTAAATGACCAAAGCACCAGTTTGTTTTCCTTAAAGTATTCTGCTCAGAAAGTAATAATGAAAACAGCATTTGTACGGTGCTTTTTGTTTGTCGAAAAGCCTGCCTCAGACTCCCCATCTCATCTGGCCGTCCTCCACCCCCAGGAGGCTGCCTTAGTTCTGCGCCCATTTTGCAGATGAGGACAAGCCTGCATGAGTGGCGGGAGACAGGGGATGGCTGGAGCGTCTGTTGACTTGGCCTTTTTCTCCTCTTTCGAGGCCACGTACACGGTCCTGGGTTTCGTCCCCTTTCTCTTCAACCAGCCGCCTCCGGAGAGCCCCTTCCTCTCTGCTCACAGGTCCTTCCAGTGGGAGCTCCGCCTCACCTCCCAGGGCTGCCGGCTGCTGCCCGCGCAGCGCCCCCAGGCGGCCGCCCCCCTGGCTGCCGGCGCCCTGCAGCTGGCGGCCTGCGCCACCGTCCTGCTGGAGACCTACGCCCGGCGCCTGCGGCACACCGTCGCCGCTTCCTTCTTCTCGGCCCAGGAGGCCAGGAGGGCCCGCCACCTTCACGCCCGGCTCCAGCGCAGATACGACAGGCGCCGAGGCCAGCAGCTGCCCCCGCAGACCCCCTCCTGCTCCTGACACCCGGGCCTGCCAGCACCCGCCCCGGCCTGGATGCTGGAAGAGAACAGAGAGCAGTAAGGCAGAGGGGAAGCAGCGCGGAAGCCGCACAGACCTTGGTCCTTGCTGTGTGACCTTGGGTGGATTGCTTCACCTCTCTGAGCCTCAGTTTCTATGCCTGCCTAATGACTGCATAATAACAACCCATGTGACCTACTTTCCACGGAGGGGGGGCGGGGGAATGTGGGAAGGGAGGAATTCGATACTGGGATACTGGGCGTAAAAAGGCCTCGAGAAGCAGTAAAGCATTCTGCACAGTGACCCACAAGGAAGTGCAGAGACAGCCCCAGGTTCCTCCAGACCAGCTGGGGATCAGTGAAGGCTCTCACCTGCATCAGGGGCCTCCGACTGGCAGATGGAAACTTTGCCTAGCGAGATGTGCCCTAATGCTCCCGGATACGTCCCCCGAATCTTCTGAGATTTAGCAGCCTAACATTTTCTGGATTTTCTAAATGAAGTATTTATTAAATCCTAAATTAGATTATGTTGCTCCTTTGTTTCAAAGTCCTTGGGGGATTTCCCGACCAGGCTTGCCAGCGTTTAGCAAATAAAAATACACGATACCTGGGTCCATTTGAATTTCAGACAAATAACAAATACGGGTTTAGTGTAAGTACGTCCTTGGGACATTCTTATACTGAACATACTTGTACTAAACCTGCGTTTGCTGCTTATCTGAAATTCAAATTGAACTGAGTTATCCATATTTTATCTGGCAACTGTATCCCCATCCAGGTTCTAGTAAAACCCCAGCTCCCTCCCCTGTGGGCTTGGTATTATTCCCTGTTTTCCCCTCCACGTCATTCTCTGCCCTTCTCTTTCCCAGGAATCAAAACTCTGTGAATTGCATCACCCCGGCTCCCTTGGCCTCTGACTTCTAGTCGGGCTCAGCCAGTGGGAGTCACTGGCAGGCCATCCAGAGGGGGAGAGGAGACAGATGTCAGGGTATTCATTCCTGCAGCCCTCTGGGCTGTTTGGCAGGGACAGCATTCCATTACCAGCAGCCACAGCTCCTGTCTGGCTGGGGGGCCCCTTGTCGGTGGCTAGAGATCCCCCTGGGTTCTGAAGGGGCACAGCTTCCAGGGTTGCTGGTTTCTGAAGGCCTCGCCATCCTTCTTCCCTTTACCAAGTCCCCGCCTCTGTACCTTCCTCAAACTCTCTTTAGTTTCTCCCTTTGAGACCACCGACCCTTTCCTGCCAGGAAATTGATGTGTCCTGGGTCACAAAGCCCTGCTCAAGCCAGCCTCTCCCTCCTTCCCTCTGCCCCCCGGCTGCCTGGACTTCAGCTCCTCAGACACACCAGGCTGGCTTGCACCTCAGGGCAATGCCCTTGCTGTTCCCACATCCTGGAACACGCTTCCTTCACGTCTTGGCATGGACCGTTTCTTTGCATCCTTTGGGGATTGCCTCAAACGTCACCTCCTCGGGAAAGCCCTCCCTGACCACGCTACCTAATATTGCCTTATCCCAGCCAGTCTCACTCCATCACAGGAGTGGGCAAGCTACTATCTGTGAGCAAATTCTGGCCTGCTGCCTGGTTTTGTGACCAGAATTTTATTGGAACATTGTCACACCCATTAGTTTGAGTACTGCCTCTGGCTGCTTCTGCCCTGATGGCAGATTTGAGCAGTCGAGATCGGGACTGCGTGGCTCACAAAGCCGGAAATATGTACTATCTGGCTCTTTAACTAAAAGGTTTGCTGACCCCTGATCTATCATATCAAATTGTTTCTTCTTCTCCATAAACACCCTCATCGATATTCTTTACTATCTTACGTATCCATTTAGAGATTTAGCTACCTCCTTGTTTGTTCCTTGCCGTGTGTTTCATGTCGCCCCGCAAGAGTGTAGACATCATACGATGTGTCTGGTGCTCCAGGGTATTTCCAGTTCCTAACGCAGTGCCTGGTGCAGAGTAAGCACTCGGTAAACATCAGTTCAACGACCAGGTATCTGGAGGTGGGACTGCGCCGCCCCCTCTGGTCTCAGCTCCTTTTCCTGAAGATTTGGGGCTTGCAGCAGGGAATGCTCAGGCCCTGGAGGCAGCCCGCGTTGCACCAAAATTTGTGGCCAAAGGGGAAATGGACAGAGCAGTTGAAAAAGAGTTCCCCAGGCAAGTGTTTGGACTTAAACAGCCAGCGTGCGCTGTGAGTCACCAACCGGGGTTAGCTGAGCCCCCACTCTTGCCATTTTGTCACCCACTCCCCAAAGGGAGTTGTGCTCATCACCGAGGGCCATCGTTGGCCTCACGCGACACCCTGCCCCAACGCAGCTCCGTTCCCACAAAGCTGCCTCGTGGCTTATTTAGGCAGTGGCTCACCCACACGTTTTTTTTTTTTTTTTAAATTGCACAACTAATCCGCGAATCCTCGTCCTTACAAAAATTAGAGTGGTACAGATAATAATAGCTAGTGTCTGTTGGGTGCTTATGATGTGCTGGGAGCGTGCACAGAGATGCCCGCAATCCGCTCTCACGAGGCGGCGTGGGCTGGCTCTAACATGCCGTTAGATGTGCCCCAAACTCTGTGAAAAGCTTGATGTACATAACCTTATTTAAACCTCACAAACGTGTATGAGATAGATGGTATTATTCTTACCCTTCTTTTAGAGGTGGAGAAACCGCATTCAGAAAGGTTCAGTGTTTTGCACAAAGTCACACAGCTAGTAAGCTGCAGAGACAGAACTTAAAGCCAGGTAGTCTGGCTTCCAGAGCCCCCCTTCTATACCAAAAGCTCTCTGAGGCAGGCAAAGGGGTCATCATCATGCCCATTTTACAGATAAGAAACCTGAGGTTCAGAGAGGATTATGGGATTTTCCCCGAGTCATGAATGCTAATGTTGACCTTTCTCCTACCCAGGGAAGAATCCAAACTTCAAAGAGGAGAGTTGAGGAAGGGGGAGTGCTAATTTCCCTTGACCCCAGCAGTGGGGAGCCCTGGGGTCTCAGGGTTGGAAACTTGGCAATACCAGGAGCCCTCTGCTGGCTGCCACAGGCCCAGCTTTGGGGATGCGCAGCCAAGAGGGAAAGGTTCCAGGTCAGAAGTTCAAGTCCCCTGCTGCTCCCTCTCACTGCCCACCTGGAAATGCCCACGTGACCCTGGAAATGAGTTCGAGCGCTGACTTCCAATCCCCACTCTGGCACTTGCTGGCTCCATTATTAAGAGGAAGGAAAACAAAATCAAAATATCTCTACACTGGGAGACAGAGTCCCCGACCTCTAATCTCTTCAATTAACACCCACCTTGTTGTAGGGTAGGTGTTCTTGGTTATTTACGGCTGTGAAGCAAACTACCCTCAAAGCTAGGGACCTAAAACAAAGATCTATTATTAGCTCACAGAGTCCTGTGGGTTAACTGCACTCTGGTTTGTGGTTTCTTGCATGGGTGCAGGTGGAGGGGGACAGGGGCTGGGGCCATTTCCAACGGCCTCTGCACTCAGTGTCTGGGGCCACGGGGCTTCTTAGGTGTCCTGGACAGAGCATCCTTGAACGTCTTACCGGAAAATTGGGGCTCTGGGGGGCCAGAAGCAGCATCTGCCAGGCCAGTTAGGAGCCGTGCTGGAACCGGCCAGCATCGCTTCTACCAAAAGAATCCCAGACTAGAGGGAGTGGAGAAATGGACCCCGCCTCTTGACTCTTGCAAAAGAGTACGTGGGACACCTTCCTGCGGCACCCTTGGAAAACCCAGTCCCCTACTGCCGAGCAGGGGAAGCCAGGGGACCCCTCTGGCTTTCAAGGAGCAGAAGCTTTCCTGAATTCGGCTGGCAAGGACTGTCGGGGGGAGGCTGTCTATCCACTTGCGTTCTCCAGATGCTACTCTGGGCAAAAAGGGAAGGACAAATGGCGATAATCTCTGTAACATGGCAATGTTATTTTGAGTCAGCCAGAGACACGTGCAAATCTCAGCTCTCATGGGGTGATTTTGAGACACCCTATCGCCTCTTCGGGCCCCTGTCTCTTCACTCGCCGTCTGAAGGAAGCCAAGGTGGTGGAAGCAGTCTGGGAAGCTGCAGGACCACAGACAGACCCACGCCGGGCCCCGAGGCGGGGGCTTCCTCAGGCAGCGAAAACCCAGAGAGGAAAAGGGTTTCCTCTTGGTCACAGCACTGCCACCATCTGGCGGCAGAGGGCGCCCGTGCACACGGCCAACGCGTGCCCCGCGGGCGGCGGCCACAGGGGTTCCTAGGCACCTGGGGGCAACGTCACCCAGCCTGCTTCCTCTGTAGGTGCTTGGAGCAGACCTCATCTGGGAGCTCTTCCCTGACACTGGCGTGGATGGGTGCTCCCCATTTCCTTCACCCAAGGTGGGAAGCACAGGAGGTGAGAAAGCAGCGTAGAGCAAGAAATTTGAGGCACTCACTGAGGGTCACGTGTCTGTAGGATCTCTCTCTGTCTCTCTCCGTCTCTGTCTCTTTCCCTCTCTCCCTCCCCCTCCCTCTAGAACTGGTTACAGAAGATTGCAACCTTCCCAGAAGCCCCCCCAGCAGCAGCCATTCATGACTCATTAACTAGAATTAGCCACTTGTGCATTCCAGCCCAGTCACTGGTGAAGGGTTGGGATTACCAAGACTGGGTGAGATGTTTTTCACATGGTGGGTCACCAACTGTGGATCAGGAACCAGATTGGCAGATTGTGACCAGTATTTCTTTAAAAAAAAAAATGAAATAGACTAGGAAAAACCAGCATACATTGCTATAGTAAGTATAAGCATAATTTTGTAGACCTTGTTTCACTGTGTGTGTGTGTGTGTGTGTGTGTGTGTGTGTGT